AAGAGCGGTAGGGTCTTAACAGTCTTATCGCCACAAGCTTTCCCCCTGCTTGGTTCCTTGTGGGCCAGCTCTCTCTTACTCCCTACCAGAGATCTGTCTAACCATAATCCAGCCTTGACTGCAGCCACTCACCAGTGCTCAGGGGAAGAACGAAGAGGCAAATTAAATCAAGTGCCCTCCCTGCCCCACTTATGGGGGAAGATTGGACGCTTTCTGTCTAGAAAGATATACGTAGCTCTGGGAGGACCTGCAGACCATCTATGTTAAGCTAAGACCATAGCTCAGCAAACCCAGAGGCCTCTGTTGGCTCCTGAGAGCCTTCAGCTCACTGAAGCAGCTTGCTGCAGGGTCACATGAAAGTCCTTGCCTCTGTGCAAATGGTGTGGGAGGGCACGGAGGCAGATAAGAGTCCTTCCCTTCTCCTTGTCGTCAGGCTGGCTTTTTTCTCCTGTAGAATTACACTACAAATGCCCCATGGCCCACAGGAAAACTGAGAGTGATAACCATTCAGAGCCTTTTCTCCTCAAGGGTTAGAAGATGACTAAGCTAAAACCAACAGTAGCTGGAAGGAGCAGTTGAGTGGCATGATTCTCTCTATCTGGTACTTGAAATGCTGAGCAGCTTAACTGCAAGGCCAAGGGTTATAGCATTCTGTCAATAAGCCTGTCTGCACTGCAGGGTTCATACTGGGATTACACCTAAGTTTTGGGTAACCCACTACTCCAGTAGCTGGGGATTTAGTGGAAAACTCTAGCACTCAAGGCTGGGAACAACCATCAGAATTATGTCAAAAGCCTGGTCCAAGAGGTAAATACTATGAAGGCCTCTGTCATCTATCTGAAAAGCCCTGGACCACAGTGAAGCAATAACTGGCAAATCAGTAAAAGAGGTTCTATACAGGGAGCAAGACAAACTGTTTGCATTAAATAATCTGTTAAGAAATGTCACTTGACCTCTGAGGGGCACCATACATTGTTAAAGCTGAGGGAGAAGATCCTGAAGCTTACTGCCAGGCAGGCAGTGATAACACACAGCAGGAGAGAGGCCCAGCCTGGGGTCCTAGTTGCATACAATGCCTATTATGTGAGCTTCCTAACTTTTACAGAGGGAGATCTTCCCCCTGATATCGCCTCTTATCACAGGATTTGCCAAGAAGACTTTCATCTCCTACTCTGTCACCTTTGGGGACAGCTTTCGACAAGGCAAAGTTGTTGGAATAGACCCTGGGAAACAACAAGTCTTGCTAAGTGATGGTGAGGTGGGTGTGCTGGTGTGACAGCTGATGCATATAACTTTTAATGAATAACTTGACTGCATTTACAGGATCACTTGCTAATGCTGACAGCCAGTCTTAAAGGGAACATGTGAATATCTCCTCAGGGGATGTATTGGCTGTGAGAACGCAGTACTCCAAATCGAGGCTATTTTGTTTTTGACTGGGAATGTCTGGTTGGAGAAATGACTTAGAATTAAGGTTTCAAACTGCTGTCTGTGCTTGGGAGTCCCTCTGGGGAAAATCTGCAAGAGGAGCAGGATCACAGGGCATCTGGACACACAGAATGTGCCTCTGTCTTGCCTGAGGCAGCTCTAACAGAAGTTGGTCCGGTTTCCCACCTTCTAATGGGAACAGCAGTACAACTCTCACCTGCAGTGGCATGTGTGTTTTGGATGGAATCCTGTCCTGGGAAATGCACACACTGGACCTTTGCACTTTGAGTTGGATAAGATCTGGGAATGTTATTGTGTTGTGGCAAACAATCCGAAAATCTCCTAAAGCACAGTTCAGCTGAGCACACTAACCCTGATCTAGCAAATACCCACTGGGCTCAGAGTTCACACACACACACACACACACACACATTAGGGTTCCTGTTCTGATCTAAACCTCAGGCTGGCTGAAACATTTGACCCCCAAACAAGTCACAAGCCAAGCCCTTCTGAAAGGCACTGATTGCTTTCCTCGAGGCTTCTACCATTTGTGGACAGGTATCCAAATGCTCATGTTTAACACTTGCCCTGCAGCTCCAGGAAGTAGAGAGAAATGGAACCAATGACCTACTTCTGTAGAGGGCTGCCCCAGAAAAAGAGTGAAGCAGGCCCCCAACTGTTACTTCTAAAACCAAGACACAATTTCAGAAAAGACTGTAGTGTTTAGTCATCCTGAAGAGCTCAGGGGGAGAGACTCTTTGTCTGTATGCTTGTAACTGTGTGTAGTTAAAGTGGCTAAAGCTGTGTTGGAATGAGTGTGCAGCAACTATTGCACCCCATCCAGTGCTCAGATCTTTTATTTCTGTGACTAGATTTGGAGCTCAACATGTAGCCTTAGAGCTCTAAGATCCTATCTAACTCCAGCCAAAGGCATGGGCAGCAGTTCTGGAAACTTTTTGGCCAAAGCATCTCAAGTGTCTTCAGAAGAGTGTGAAGGAGAGAAGTTAGGCTGTATGTATGTGTCTCCCTTTAGATTCTGAACTCTGTGTCCCAGCTGAGCACTGGAGCCACTGTGATGTAACCTCAATGGTGGACATGAGCTCATAGCTGGTGGACATCACAACGCATAGCTTTACTAGGCTGTTAGACCTAGAAAAGAGACTGATGCCCCTTAAACATGAGCTGCTCTTGTCCCTGGGGAATTTGGGTTGTTTCCTGTAAACTTCAGAGTAGACTTCTCAAAACACTCTGCTCATACTCTGAGAAAGGCAGTTACATAGCTTCACCTGTATCAGGTCTCCTCCTAATGTTACTTTCTAACAGTGGAAAATTCTTTCCTAGTTAAAGGAGGGTCAGTGGGGGCTTGAGGAGATGAAGTAAGTGAAGAGTATGTAGGAGGAAACAACTTTGTTTTAGGCTCTCTTCTTTAAGAGGTCTAACATCCTGTTCTACCTTCTGCCCTCCTCAGGAACTTCACTACTCCCATCTCATTCTCGCAACAGGCAGCGATGGGCCGTTCCCTGGGAAGTTCAACAAAGTCATTGACATGGAAAGTGCCATCCAGACCTATGAGGACATGGTCAAGGAGGTGAGCAGCCAACTCCTTTCCTAGGAAGTGTTGCCTCTCTTAATTCAGCCTCCATGTTCTAGATAGATACCACTATGGATATCTGGAGCCATCTGTCTTTGAGAACAAGAGGTGAGGCCAGAACAGGGAGCATATGCTATCTCATCTAGCATTCTGCATGCCCCAGTGGATGATCAGCTGTCTGCACAAGGGGAAACCTGAAGGGCTCAGTAATATTATGATATACAAAAGAAGGGTGCCTGGGTTCTCACCTCTGTTCTTGCTTAACAAGCTAGGTGGCTTATGGCTGCTAGGCCAATGCTGTATAATGGATGGAAAGGTCCGTTCACTGAGTGGCTGACAGTATCTGACTTCCAGCATGTGACAGTTCTCTTGTAACATCAGTTTGTTTATTTCAAGATTGAAAAATCTCAGCGCATCCTGGTTGTGGGAGGTGGTTCTGCTGGAGTCGAGATGGCTGCAGAGATCAAAACAGAGTACCCGGCCAAAGAGGTAGTAGCACATTAGTTGCAATTTACTTCATCCATGTTTCTGAGACTGTTCTTCTGTGATGGTCCTGCTAGAAGTATCTCAGGTCACTGCAGATCAGGAGCTTCCATACAGTGGCAGCCTTCACCCAACTTCTTTCTATTCTGAGAGCTTCCTACCACCTGCCACCAGTGATGATTGGCTTCAGAGGCCTTTCATTAGCTCTCTCCCCTTAGGCCTCAAGTGGGATGGAAGGAAGCTATCTATTGCTCTTCCTGTCCTGCATGTGGGGCATTCTCTCTCATTGCTGTGCCCCCTACTTTGCTGTTTTGTCCTCAACAGGTCACCCTCATTCACTCAAAAATTGCACTAGCTGATGTGGAGCTGCTACATAGTGTCCGTCAGGAGGTGAAGGAGATTCTCCTCAGGAAAGGAGTGCGCCTCCTGTTAAGTACGTACTTAACAATTGCCTCTGAAGATTTAGACTCTGAAGCTCTCAAACTGCTCTTTCCTCAGCCAAAGCACCTCCTTCTGATTTCTGACTAAGCATAGTTGCCTTAATTTCCTGTTTCTGTAGCTACATCTGGGCTAGCTTTAAAGGGCAGCCTAGTGAAGGTTTGTGACCCTGAGCTCTCTGTTAAACAGGTGAAAGGGTCAGCAACCTTGAGGACTTCACTCCAAACCAGTTCCAGAAGGATATGGTAGTAAGGACAGAAAAGGGCACAGAGGTTACAGTGGACATGGTGGTCCTGTGTACAGGGATAAAGATTAACTCTTCGGCATATGCCAGTGCATTTGGTAAGTGAAAAAACACTAGGTGGGGAGAAGCAATACAGTTCTTGTACTTGATTACTGTGCTACTAGGAATCAAACTTAACACAGCCAGCAGTGATGATTCCATGATACAGCTGAGGCTCTAACATCACATTACCTTCTTGACTGTGAAATGCGACCTTTCAAAGCTAACAGAACAGACCACGTGTCAAGTGGTCCACAATCTTCTCCAGCTCCCTCTACTACTATCTCCAAGGAACCCTAGTGTCCCGTTTCAGCATGAGGCAGATTCAACCCAGAAGCTGATGATAACTCTTACCTTCACCAAGGCTGATTTCATCCTAGATAAGAGTTTGAGTTCTGAGCAAAAATAGTGCAGCAAGAATGCTGAGTGTGCTGATTCCAGTGTCACGAGGCATCTTCAGTTTGAGTCCTCTTATAGCCCAACTTCAGCTGTAGCACTACAACTATGAAGCAGTATGACCATTATACAGTTTTTTTCCTCAAGCTGTGTATACTAACTCTTAATAACTTGAAGTTTCATGACAACTGATTGCCTGAGAACTATAGCAAGGCAAAAAAAAAAAATCTCTTCCCTGACATGTAGAAAAGGGAGGGGGGGAACCCTCCTCACTTGTTGTCAAACATGTCACTGTCAGTCAACAGCATTTTGGGCTCTTAGCAAACAATCCAAAAATCCTTATGAAAATTTACTATTTGGCAAAACAGGGGATAAACTGGCAAGTAATGGTGCTTTGAAAGTTAACCAGTACCTCCAACTGGAAGGCTATGAGAACATCTATGCCATCGGGGACTGTGCAGATCTGAAGGAACCAAAGATGGCCTACCACGCTGGGCTCCATGCCAACATTGTGGTGACAAATATCATCAACAGCCTGACACACAAATCTCTTAAAACATACCAGCCAGGTAAGACCAGGTGGTAAGAGCTTACCTCAACTGCTGGGCTCCTCTTCTGTAGAGAAGAGCTGTTTAGCATGTATACATTGAAACTTGCATGGGACACTAACTGGAAATGAAGGGACCTGTAATTGGGGTTGACTATTGACTGATATAGCCTAGGCTTCATCTTAATTCTGTCAAAGACACTGTAGATGTTAATTACCTGTGTTAGTCTATGTACTCAACATGTCCTTTCTTCACTAACATCTTGCTGATAAATCTACCAGTGGGTTTCTTCTACTCGTCAAACTTGTTTCCTTTTCTTGAAATTGTGTACAATCCAATTAAATCCTAGGAACAAGGAAGTGACTTGACTCTCTCCTCCCTTCTCCCCTTAAACTATACCACAAACATGAACTGAAAAGTCCAGTCTGAAAAATCTAGTTGGGGGTAGGCCTCATTAGTCAGCAACTGATGTAAATATTTACTAAACTTCAGCCTTGAAAGCTTTTCCATATGGATGGAGGATAACTGGATAGCCATTTAGTTTTTGAATGGCTGCCCAGCCTACTTTAAACTTAATATTTTTGCATCTCTTGGACTCAGTCTTGAGAGGAGAGGGTCACTTTATGCCACAAATACAGGCAGCACCATCCTCCTCCTGCACAGCTCTAAACCAAGAGGAATGCCCGACTTCCTGTAGTGAGGAGACCAGAACTAGCCTTCAGTTTTGCCAAAGGCCGACTCTTCCTTAGAAGAGGGGAAGAACAAGCCAATCTCATTAGCCTTTCTACTATCTGCTCTACCTTTTCCATTAATGTTGCAAGTAGTTCTCCTTGGGTCTGCATCTAGAATTCTGGCTTCTTCAATTGCCATATAGTAATTGCCCAGAAGTTGGGAGGAAGAGGTGGGAGGGAGTGCAACAGCTGCATGTAATACAGTTTGATACTTGAACTGCTTAACTTTAACTGACACTTACTCCTCTGCATCTCCTTTCCAGGGTCACTAACATTCCTGCTTTCAATGGGCAAGAATGATGGGGTAGGCCAGATTAACGGTTGCTATGTGGGACGTCTCTTGGTGACTGTTGCTAAGAGCAGGGACCTTTTTGTCTCCAAGAGCTGGAAGACAATGGGGCAGACAATGCCCTACTAGGAAGTTCATTAACAAACCAGCAAGGGCTATACAACCTGGAAGATGGTGAGGGTGCACTTTCATTGCCTGGACAGACTGCTACTGTCTCCTCCAAGCATCTCCTAAAGCCACTCTTCAGTGTGGTGCATTAAAGGGGTGCCCTATGTTGCTGTAAAGGCAACAAGGCACTTTCTGAACCAATTGCCACAGAAGCTCTCATGCTGAAAGCAGGGGAGGGATGATTCTCCTACTTTCCTGTGGAGGCAGCTCTGAGCAAGAAGTTTGGTTTACCTTGATTTGTAACAATAAACACTGGTTTTCAAAATCTCTGTAGTTGGTTGGTTCTTGTGTGGGTTTTTCCTCCAGCATTCTCCCTACCTGCTCTTCTAAAAGGTAAGTTATCATGGTACCTACCTGTTACTGTGGTACAGAGGAAGCTTATAGGAAGAACAACACCTCCCTCAAGCCTTGATAATCCTGGAATTCAGAGCATAACACAGCTTTGGGACTACATCTCCTCTGCAACTTTGTCACTTACACAGCTCTCTACTTCAGCCAAAAAGCTGCTACATTTGTGTTAAGTGTGATACAGCAAAAAAAAAAAAAAAAAAAATACCACCTTTAAAAATGAGAAGTTTCCAGAGCAAAAGTAGGGTTTATAACAATAACCACACTTGACACATCTCTTTCTTCTTTTTTCTTATAAAACAAACAGGAAAATCACCATGAAATACTCTCAGTAATTACAGAGATTAGTGTGAGTTAAAAGGAAAACAGAAGCTCCACATGCGTCACTTCTAAAGTCCTTTTCCCCCCACATGAACTGGAAGCAGAAGCTCACCACCCACCTTCAAGGGAGGGGAAAAGGGGAGCACAACATTTTTAAGAGCTTTCTTTAGTGTGTGTGCGTGAAAAATCCATTGCTACAAATCTAAAATGAGGTTACTCTTTAAAACTTCTAAACTAAAGTAACAAGGGACACTAAAACTTCTGAAAAGAGATGGTAACTCAATTGCTTAAGGTGATATAAATGGGCAGAGGATGCTGATAGCATGAAGGAATCAGACTAAACCCCTCTCACCTCTAGTAACAGCTCTTCATCAAGTCACAACACATCACACTACTACCACTCCCCCTCCTCACCACATTGAAAAAATAAAACCCACCTCTAATGCTTTTAATGCTACTCAAGTTTATGTTGAAAAATAAAGTTTCATTTGGCTGCCGTTGCTACTTAGTGTCTAGCTTGGCCATTTCTTGCACATAGATGCCAATACTTTCACTGTCGAAGAGCAGAAAGTAAATGTTCTTCAAGGAGGAAGAGCTGGTGCCATCAAAATGGGTGGAAATGGCTCTGAGAGTCACCTGGGCTGCCGTCTGTTTTGGAAAGCAGTTTCTATGTGGTAGGGGAACAAAAATAAAACAAGTGAATGTCAACCATCTGCGCAAGCATCGTGCACACGTGATGCTGAAAGGAACCACAGCTATACCAGCTACAGCCTGTTGTTAAGACAACACCAGTTTTATAAAGTGTAAATCCCAGAAGCCAATCCCAAGGTTTTGATAGTAATATTCATCATATTATTTTCTTGCTGACATAGTTACTATTTTTATTTGCTTCTATTTTTTATTACCACACAACCTTTTTGTTTTAAACACCATCCTTTAGGATTAAGCCTTTCCACGCCATGTAGGGCAGGCTAAAAAGTTCAAAAAGTGATTTATTTTGTAGTGGAAAACTAAACAAAAAAAACCACACACCTGACTCTTCCTCAGTCTGTCATTAACAATAATTTGCTTGAGACTTCAGTAAAAATAACTGAAATGAGAACCTCACACCAAATTAAATCCAAGACCCTTTCCCTCATTTACGTTGATGGTAATACTCTCTCTAACAGAAGAGCCAAAAAGCTACCAATCTTTATAGCGAGTGTAGTTTTGAACTATGTTGAAATGTCTTGGGGCACCTGCTCCATGGTACTTGAGACTGGAGTTTCTCAAACAGCAGCGTTTGCTCCATCTTAATCATTCTCATATTCCTCTGCTGAGGTGCAAAACCACTCAGTTGCAACTCAGTTCCTTCACCCTCATCTCAGTATTACGAGAGAACTGGCTGAGAACCTATCACAAATGTGACATATCCTGTGTCACAGATATCTGGGAGGAAAGGATACTCTTCTGCATTCCTTGCTGGGGTTTCTCTGCTGCCTTACAATGACAGAAGGCTTTGGAGGCATGCTTATGCTAGGATCTGCTGATTTTGTGCAATACTGAGTCGTTTTGATGCAGTTTGCTTGCTGCATGAGCATGCAGGAAGCCAAATACCTGGGAGAGTCTGAATAAGACTTTACTAGAGCATACTGAATTGCTTGAAGGCGCGTTAAGATCTGGCTGAGATTTTAGGCAGGGCTTTGAGCATAACTCTTCTGGCTGCCTTTGAGTTTAATGCCTCCTATTTACGTTCTACTGCATGGTAACACTCCAATAGAAGTCAGATCCATGCCAAAAAATTTGGCCAACACAACCTAGCTCACACCCTTGTTCTAAAGCAGGATCACATAACTTTTCTGCCTCGGAAAGAAGTTCATCTAACCTGTCTTAAAGGTGTGATGGGGCTAAAATCAGAATACACAGATAAGCCATTTCAGTACCTACGAATCCTTACAGTTGAAAAATTGTGGCACCTCTTTTAACTGAATCCAGAACCGCCTTCTGCAGTCTTTTCTTCTTCTCCTCTCAACAGCATTATGCTGTGCATTTGTTTTTATTTTTCTTCCTCAGTTTAGTACTATGCACTTCTTACTCAACTTCATGTCAATGATTTCAGACTTCTTACCACATTTATGTTAAATCGTGTCCAAAAAAGAACAGTTGGGAACTAGCCATCCAAAACTGTTGCATGTGTATCGTCTATCATCCAAATGATTACTAACAAACAGTATTTACTAGCCTTAAGTCCCACAACAGTTCTCTGCAGCAACTCTGCTGATAGGTCTTTTTGGCATGAAGGTAGCAATACAAGCTTTTAGAAAATGTTTTTCTGCTAATTTATACCCACTTGCCAGCACAAGTTATTTCATCCAGACTGCATTTCTCTACTTTTCACGGCAAGGTCATGGAGGTGCAAAGTCCTACTACAACCAAGATAGGCTATCTGTTGCTACTTCCCCTACATTTTATCTGTTACTATAAACAGTTCCTAAGCTGTGACCATGAAGAAAATCTACAGAAATAATGCTGCATTAAGTCCTGATCAACCCAACAAAAACATTATTTCTTGTTGTCATTTTATGCTAACCTGCATCTCTGCACAAAGGCATTAGAAGTCTTTGAAAAACTCTATGCCTTTTTTTCAGACAACTCTGAGGTCCTTTGATAAATACAGTGCAAAAGAGCAGCTTCTGCTAAAACCTACCCTACATTTTCTCCGTAACAGGAGCAATTCTAAGAGTAACAGAGAGCGAAAAGGAACTAAGGAGCAGAAGGATCTGCACAAGCACTGATGCTCTAGGACTGGATTATTCTTAGACAATGCTCACAAGAGACACAAGGCCTATAGAGACTATTGCTGTAAAAGCTGCAGTTCACATTTATTTTTAAAGACTTCATTATTATTTACTGTATGATAAATCATTTTACAACTTTTTAATAATAATTTATCATGTTTTGCTTTTACCAAATACTCTAAGCAAAAAGACCTGGGCATAAAGGAAATAAAAATCACTACAATTATACTGCTTTTCTAGTCACTCTTTTATCCTGGTCCATAAAAATGTTTGTCTCAGAAAGCATCTGTGTAAAAAAGGCATCTGATCCCCCTGTGAATCCAGTGAACAAAATGCACTTTTACTTTGATTTTTTTTCCCACTACAGGGCCAACACAACCTGACTGTGCTATGCAGTCAATTCTTTGGGCATTACTAACAAAAAAAAAAAAAAAAAAAATATCAGTCATTGCCTTTCAAATTAGTCCTAAGTGTGCAAACTCCAACATGAAAGAACAATTTCTCCAGTCAGTGCGGCTTGGATAAGACTTCTTATGATCACGGACCAAGCAAGATTAGCAAACTGTCAGCTTAAAAAAAAGTTTTGGCTTTCTTAGTCAAGCACATTTTATTTGCCAGCTGTTAAGAGAGAGATGTGAAGTCTGCTTTTTAGAGCAATAACTCTATTATTTGAAAAACAGAATGATTTTCCTTTGAAAGGAAACATTTTGTCCAACTAGTCTTTTTAATATATACTCCTAGGACGACTTAAGTAAATACCCTATGTTTACCTGGCTCACATTGTCTTCAGTATTATGTTGGTGTCTTCTTATTAATATTAACAGCACTTTAATAAGATTCACCACAATAAAATGAGGGGATATGAAAACTGAGGTTCCACAGGCCCATAGTAGAAGAATGAAAATTACTCACTAGCAATAGAAAGCACAGCTCTCCTGTGATTTAGGTAATTTCTTTACATAAAGCCTTTCTGGTCATTCCACGCAAACAATGCACTTAAGCTGCTTTAATCTGGAGCAGCACTGTGTCACCTGCACCTGCCACAGCCCTCAGTGGAGCTAGGGTCAGCCCCCTTCACGTCACAGATGAGATGGTATCTCTATCACAGCAGCAACCCTCCAATAGCTAATTATACAATTGTTACATAATACAGAATCCTCTTACGCAGAAAGATTCGTACCTGCCACTGGGAAAAGGGGGAAAAGCCACAGACTTCAGCTTCTTGTCTTCTGCAGCTGTTAAGCAGTTCTTAATAGTCTCCTCAAGCTGCTCTTCACACTTGTCTGAGCCCCACTGCGGGATGTGACAGTGGATGACAAACTTTGCTGCAAGGCCACTAGACTGGGTAAGCGCAGCTAAAACAAATGAAAAGATAACATTGAGTTCTGAATAGAAATCACTCTGCAATGACCTCTCAGTCCAAAGCAATCTGTTAATTAAGTCACCTCTACAAAGACATACATTAGGAATTAGCATATGCCACAATGATTCCCTTGCAATCATAATCTGAGCATCTTGTCATTAACTATGCAATCAGTCACTACTTCTTTGGAGACCAAAGGACCCAGGGTTCATTCGTCAGCATGCAGTTATTCAATAATACGTTATAGCTTTCTCATTCAGTACGGACTTTGGATTTCTTTCATGCTGAACATCAAAACTCTGCACTGAACACAGTATCATTAATTCCTCAACAGGCATTTCTGTAGCGCAGTCACAGCCACATCAGAATGCTTCATCAATATCCTGCATCATCATTACAGCTCGAGTGTTAGGGAGTGGTATTTATTCCCACTTCACAGCTGGGTCATTTCAGACATACAGACATGAAAATCAAAGTCTGCTGAAAGTAACCACCAGCTAGATCCAATTATCTATTGTCTATTCTATTATCTATTATATCTATTATCTATTCTTTTATATTTCTGTAACGTAGTTGTAGTGCCTGGAAGAAGAGCAGCAATTTAAGCAAAAAAGCATGTAAATTCTAAAGATTATGTCACCTCTTTATTTGTGATCAAACAAACTAAGGAAATCCTGTGAGCAGCGCTTGAACTCAGGGCCCATTAGGCTGGAACTCAAATATTTGCAGTAAACCTCCAGGCACTAAGAGCTGTTTAGTATTGCTTACCTCACACCCAGTGGAAGTGGTAATTTCAAACACACCAACACAATGCAATGGCTAACAGAGGGTACATTTTCCATCTATTAAACCAAGGTTACCTTCTTTCCTGGGACTAGCTTAACAGAGTAAAAGGGGTCTATTTTCTAGTGATGTAGTGAAGTTAACAGAAAAAAAAAAAAGTAGTTTACTTTGATGATATGGCATATATTTATGATTCAGTGCAAAAGTTAAGTGAAATATATTGTACAAAATTTTCCCGATCATTTGGGACTATAAACCAAGCTGTTTATCTTGGGGAATTTTAAAAACTGGACTATTTAAGCATTTCATATCTTTGGTATTGAGATACTAAGTCGAATAAGGCACTAGAAAATACATTGCAATTTCTCTCCATCTGCCCTTTACCCACCTTCACACCCTAGGAATTGGTTTAATTTGTTCAAAGGAAGACAATCTCAAGCCCCAAACTATTCGCTGCTACATATAGGCTAAACATGTGAAGTTGAACACAGAGTTCTTTTATATTTCTGTAACGTAGTTGTAGTGCCTGGAAGAAGAGCAGCAATTTAAGCAAAAAAGCATGTAAATTCTAAAGATTATGTCACATCTTTATTTGTGATCACACAAACTAAGGAAATTGCTTTGATGATATTGTTCATCAAACATGCAAAAGCAGGAAAATTTATAAACTACTACTGTTCTCATAGTTCTTGCAATAGACTGTGAGCTGCTTCTGGCTCTTGCTAAGGAATGTGGTGCAAACAGAAGAGGAAAGACGGCACAAAGGCGACAGCATAAATTTTCCTTAATATTTGGACTCCACAGATAGAAATGGCCTTAGGTAAATTAAATAGCCTGCTTTAATCTGTGTTGGTAGCTAGAAACCCAAAGACAGAATGGGCAGAGCACATAGGTATCCTATTCCTCTTCTCTTTATTCCTCTTCTCTCTCTTTTTTTTTTCCCCCCCCCTAAGCAGGCTAACAGCCTTGAAGAAGAAATGGGAACTTTTACCTCACATAAGCAAAGGCACATATATAATCAAGAACAGAGCAGAACGTCAAGAGAAAAGAACATATGGAGTGTCGTATTTCTAGAAAAGAACATAACATCCTTTTTACCTTCAGCAACTTCCAAAGGTCCTTGAGACTTGCGAAGCTCTTTCACCGTTTCTAAAAACTCTTTTCCCCCAGCCTTTTCCAAAGCCTTACCTGCAAGGACACAAAGCAAAAGACCTTGGCTCCAAAGTATCCACAAGCAAAAAATAACTCTACAATATTTAAAAGAAGAACATTGTACATGTACTGTCGTGTCTAGCAGCAGCTGATGTTTATGTTACCACTCTATCAGCCACAGATAAAGTTCACTTTTTATTGGTTTTGAAAAGCCTTGTATGCTATTACTGGAAGTGCTTTAATATAATTATTTGCAAGTATGCTACCTTCCTCTGCCTTAAGTTAAAAATGTGAATAGTGGGATTTGTAGGACTTGTTTCCTAAACAGACCAGAGTACAACAAAAACAAAACATCCTTATCAGCTTCAAAACTACCACAAACAAGGTGTTCATAACCCATCAAAAAAAAAAAAAAACCCAAAATATCAAGCGTGCCACCTTCCTTCAGGAATAGTATCCTAGCAAAACCCCAGAACTCTCAACTTGTAAGATGGACCAGGAATTTAGAAGAAGATACAATGGAGCGCTAATGAGCTATATTTTGTAACTTAACTTCATGTCCCTTGTGGCTGAGCAATATACATTAGCACGTATATCATTCAGTCTCTAAAATCAATGCAACATGCTAACCCAATTAACTTTCCTGAAATAATTCATGAAATAAACATAGCCAGAACGTCAGCAAAGTTCTTGATGATGCCTGTATAAAACAATGATCCAAAGCCTGCAGCTGGATTCTGGGCCTATCAATGCAACTGACTGTATCTTAGGCAAGCAGCTTTACCTCCCTATTGCTTCAATTTCCATCTTTGTACAAAACTGATAATAACATTTCTTTATTTCACATGAGCAGTATAAGGCTTTGTATACAGGTTTTTCTGAAGCATGTAGAATCCTACAGTAAAAAATATAATTAGAAATGCTACTTATATACATACATAATTTTCCTCCCAGAATTTTCTAGGCAAATATAAAAAATTCCAGTAAAGAAAAGACTAATAATGATCATTTACACCTTTGCTGCCCATGTGCTTTAAGAAATTATCTGTGTTTGATTGTCGTTAGCCGTCATTTAAAAAAAATAATAAAAATTAGCGATTAGCCTGTTATACCTAGTCAGCTCCAGTCTGATTTTCAGAAGTGTTGTAAGTGATATTTTATGGCCTGGGGAAGATTCAGATGAAACAGGATGGAATCTCAGCAGGCAGCTAGTAGACCAGATACCGTTCCAACTTTAGATTTGCTTTTTCTGCGTGCAGCAGAGCCTCACCTATTTCCTCCTTGAGGTCTATTTCAGCAGTTGTAGGGTGAACAATGCCTTCTACTTTCATGGAGCCAATATGGCTGATGTCACTCTGTGTCAAAGAAAGCTGTAGGATGATGATGAGAGAGTAGAGAGAATTAAAACTAGTAATCTGAGTGCAAAATAATTTTTATAACAAAAAACTAAACCAGAAGAAGGGTGGATTCTGGCTTTCAGAGATCATTAAATTTATTGTGTTCAGTATGCATGATTCTCCTTTTTAAACTTTAATTTCTACACCAGTTAGACTGTTTCACGATATTCCCACAGCTTGGAAGCTTGTGCCAAAGGAAACTATTGCTAGAAAGTTTTTTCCAGATGACCCTACTATTTGAAATAAAAGTAATTAAAAAAGAAAAAAAAACACTTGCCTACATCTCCATAGCTAAATCTGCAAAAAAAGCCTGCAGCTTCATTCAATGGGTCAAAAATTAAGGATGGCCAAAAAAAAAAAAAAAAACCTAATGGCGAGTGCAGTCTGGCTAGAAACTATGGACGTGCAGGTATTTTGGTGGGATAGTTTTCTAATTCTGGACTGCCACAGTTCATTCTGAAACAGAGATAGGCATGTTCCAGAGGTCTGGTAAGACCCTCTATTTAAAGAGCGCAGCGCCCTGTAGCTCGCTTTCAGCTGGGGCACCCAGGCTTTGGGCACCAACCAACATGTGAAAGTTGCTGGGTGGTCTTAGGGACTTGGCTCAGAACTGAGGCAAGATGTGGCTGGGGTATGAGATCTCAGAAATGCTTCTTCCTCCAG